GGATGAGTGACCACCCGAGATTTTTAACAACATATCCTTGCTACACATACACAAAACACGTGTTACAACCCTACCCATTTAAAAACCTACAAACAAATATACAAAAATAACCTCTACCGTACCACCCCACACCCAATGGCMTATGTTGCCACGAGTTCCTCTTAATAATAATAAAAAAATTTAAATAATATATACATGCAGTGTTAAAACCACTGTGATAGATAAGCATAATAGTATTCTTGATCAAAATAAAATGTATACTGTATGTACCTCAAAATACTCGTTTACTTCATAATTGCGTTCCAAAAAATCCTGTGCGTCTGGTTCTGTCTGACAATAATTGACATGCTTGTCAAAATCTCTTTCCTGGAAAAATCAATACATTATAATTTACAATGGTTTAAACTTGAGTTAGTAAGTATTCAAATATATGATATAATTTAATAACTATTATTAAATTTTATTACATTTATCGTTACCTAATAAGATATAACTTACATGTATTATTCATCTATAAATTTATACAATATTGTTAACATTGTGCTATGTATTTAAAATTATATTTTTTAGAGAAAAACTTTAAAGTTAACTACTTTATATGACTGTAAAAAWAACACTATTACTTATCGTTGAATTATCTTTGGCATACATAACGATCAAGGAATCACCAAAATGTTGAAGTTAATTTTAGTTATAGAATATATTAATGATTTACATAATATAATAAAAGTTAAATGAATATTTTTTGTTATTATTTTGTATTACAGTAATCAAAAAATTAAAAGTTACTTTTATAATTTAAAAGTCAATATTATTCGCTCGTTTCATACGTCACTGTTAGAGTAGGGTAGGCGTCAGAAGTAATGATAAAGACTGAAGAGACGAATATAAAAAAAAGGTAGATCACAGCAACGTCCAACGGATACTTATAAGAAATTTGACACATACGTTAAGGAGTAAATCATAGGCAAACATTAAGGCAATTTATTGCAATGTGGGAAAATTAAAATTATTTTTATATTTTTTTCATAACGTTTAAAAACCTAGAACAATTTCTATGATTAGTGTTTATTTCTAAACATTTTTATTTTGTCGTAAAAATTKTAATTTTGAAATTTTGAAAAAATTAATATTATAACTTATATAAGTAATAATTATTTCATTTTTAGATTTTTTAAATAAATAAAAGTGTTTTTTTGTGTTTTAACCTAACCGTGAGAGAATTTATCTCTAAAATTATTTCC